TACCTCGCGTTGAGATTTCTTTAATTCAAATTCAAATTTCAAAATATATTATAATTATTTTTTTATAAAATATTTATTTTAATTACTATATTTATATATTATTATATTTAAATATTTATTACATTTAATAATTAATATTATTAGTTATTTTTATTATATTTATTTATTATAATATAATTTTTCATTATTTCAAAATTTACAAAATATATTATAATTATTTTTTATAAAATATCTATTTTAATTACTATATTTATATATTATTATATTTTAATTAATTATTATATTTAATTTAATATTATTAATTAATATTATTATATTTATTTATTATAATATAATTTTTCATTATTTCAAAATTTACAAAATATATCATAATTATTTTTTATAAAATTTCTATTTTAATTACTATATTTATATATTATTATATTTAATTATTTATTATATTTAATAATTAATATTATTATTATTATTATTATTATATTTATTTATTATAATATGATTTTATTTATATGTTTCAAATTAGGCTATTATACGGAATCCAAAAGAACCTCGCGTTTTGCCGCCCGCGAGGTCTCCTATAAATCTCGCTATATTTTGAATCATAAAGGTTACTCGTTCTTTGCAACGCACGATGTCATTTTATCCAATTGTTTTTTTGACTTACTTAAAAAATACACTGCATCGGATGTATCTCGCGTATTGAAAGTGCGAGATTTAATATGCGGTTTACAGCCGTACATCGTTTGATGTGGATGATTTGGGTTATTCTTACAAATAATCTCTTGAGGGTCTTATTTATTTAAATAATTATTTATTTAGGATTTTTAAAATAATTTGCCGCATTATTAGGGGCGGAGCATGCCCTTGAGGAGGGAGGATCACAGACCTCACAGCCGCTCATGTCCCGTGCATGCCACACACCCATCCTCACCCTTACATCACTCTTTCTTTGAGATATCGAAATATATTAAAAGTTAATAATTAAAATATATTTATATTGAAATTACATTTGATGACACATATATTATAATAAATATAAAGATAATTAAAGATAATAAAATTGAAAAATTATTAATTGGTCGAATTATTAGAAGTATTTATATTTTTTTATGTGAGCTTAAATTTCAATATTTATTTTAAAGATATAACATCTTTATGTTCATAAAATAAATAATTTTTTTAGTTTCATACTCTTAAATTAAGAAAAAATTAAATTAATTTTAATTAATAGAATCAAACGTTGACAGTTGTACTAATAAAATTAAACTTTAACTATTACAATATTCATATGATATATTACCGTTATAATATTGATGTAATAGTCTATAACGCCAACTTGAAGGTCCATAATATTGAGACGATGGTACGATGGCAATTTGGATTAAACGATATCTCCATTAATTACAAAATAGAAACAGAATCTCCATGAACCACCAAATAAAATTTGATTGAAAACCTATGTTCTACATTTCTAACAAAAAAGCACGACAGTAGATGCTTGATGGTCATATAGTTTATAACTCCTCCTATTCCATTTCACTGTCCATTTGCGGCGTCGGCGTTCTTTGATCCAAGTATTCTTGTTCTATCGTTTCCTTGAGGATGAACAGCTTTTGTATGACCACATGTTGACTCATCTTCTTCGCTTCTTTGATGTCGGTTTCTTCTTTATTGAGCATGTAAGCGTCCAGCATGATCTTAATCCATTTGTGCAGCTCTTTTGTCGTACTGTAAAACGGAAAACACACAGAATATGTCATGCCACCATAATCTGATGGCGACTACTTTAATCCGAAGAAGGGAAGAAGATTTCTCACGTGTATAAAGCGTGAGGACCCTTTGCTTCGTGTTCATTGCCTGGAGAGAAAGCTGTTGCCAACGCAGAGAACCGCTCTTCGGGATCTGTGATGTTTAGCAGATGCTTGAGCAACTTTATCTCTTTCGGTGCAATGCTCTTAAATCTGCTCTTTGTCGCTCTGTATAACTGATACATGATGTCTTTAACCTGCAATTAGATGTCGAAAACGAAATCTAAAACAATAGGGGAAAAAAACTAGCAGTAGCTGGCAGTGGCATATACTTCATTGAAACTTGAAGCTCGTAACACCGAAAAGGATAACTAGACTTGAGAACCACCGCGTTTGATTCAAAAGTCAAAACATCCTAAATATCACGTTTTACTGTCATCGATTATGTTCGGTTTGAAGTTTTAGTACATCTAAATATCTAATGAGGTTTCTAGACATTAACTTGTTTAATCATCAGTTTTAATTATTGGATGCAATGCGTAACATGTGAATATGGTTTATTTTCTTCACATCTTAAGGCATGTGCCACTATCACAATGTCTATCCATTTCATCATCGATCTGCAACACTCATTCCTTATTAGACTACTAATACTCACATTAAAAAAAGCAAGGAGAAGAAACGAAATCAAGCTATGAATCTCAAGTGTCCCGATACAGAACCTGAGAACAATATACCAATTTGAGCCTATTTACTAAGTTCCCAACAAAAATGTAGTTTAACTTGGGATGTGTTTTCGGTTCAGGCCTCAAGTTCCAAAATCACATAAAACATTCACATTCATGGTGCACATCTTTATCACTAAAACCAAATTTATCAAAATCGAGCCACGAACCTTATCTTAGAGCATACCAAGTTCGTTTTTGGGTTTGTTCAAGTTCCAAAATCACATAAAACATTCAAATTCATGATACACGTCTTTATCACTAAAACCAAATTTATCGAAATCCAGCCATGAACCTCAAGTGTTTCGATACCTATCATAACTTATATTCTATAGTGACAATTAAGGTTTTAAATGATATATCTATTTCCACTCCCACTCTGGGAAAATACTTTTGAAAATGATTGTATTTTTCATTTCTTGAGATTCTTCTTTGTAGTAGAAATGTTTTCTTGCAGAGAAAAATTTTAAATTATGGGGGCTTAACAGATCTGTTCCTGTGAACTCTAATAGCAGTTCCGCTGGAGAGTTAAACCAATACAACCACTCGGTGAGTTTAGATGTGAAGGAACAATTAGTGTGTGACATTTCCTTTTACTGTTTTGATTTCTTGTTCTCTGTATGTTTTAGCATGCATCTGTTTGTATTCTATGTGTGGTGATGTGTTCATATCTGTCCTCTATAATCATTCTGGTATCTACAGGTAAAAGTTCCTAATTTTATTGGAGGGAAATTTTTGGGTCACTGGGTTCCATGATCATTGACGTAATAAATCCTGTGAGTGAATGCGCTTACTTTGTTATTTGCTCTTTCTCATCCTTTTTGATGCAGTTTTTACATCAGCCATTTTACTTGGGCAACACAAGAGGCTGTTTCTCGAGTCCCTTCAACTACCTACGAAGAGTTTAAAGATGCAGTTAATGCAGCCAAGCAAGCTTTTCCCTCTTGGAAGAACGCACCAGTTACAGCTCGCCAGCGCATCATGTTCAAACTTCAGGAGCTCATCCACAGAAATATTGTAGGGATAACAGAATCTGTTATTATTCATTAATTTATTGTTTAAACTTGGTTTATTTCATATTCGCAATCTTCAGTTATTCCCATTCTCCTCAGAATAAGCTTGCAATGAATATTACAGTGGAACAAGGCATGGCATTAAAGAGTGCACACGGTGATGTGCTGCGTGGTTTAGGTAGCCATTTCTGATCTTTCAGGAATGATATAATTTACCCTTTTTTAATATTTGTTATCATGGACTTATTTTTTTCGATATTTGTTATTGTGGAGTTATCCTTATTTTTTAAGGCTTGTTATTAGAAAAAATTACTTAAATAATGATATATAACCACAACAATGACTATTATACAGTGATAACGATATCGTCTGAAACTGTAATGTCAACAATCGTTATGTCCACAATATTATATGCTATTAAAATTTCACAATCACAATACTTGTAGTGACTGTCATCTGTTATGTTAACAATAGCATTTCACAATCACAATACTTGTAGTGACTGAAATATCATCTGTTATGTTAACAGTAGCAATAAACGCAACGCGATTGAAGATACAAAATTATGAATATCATTCATCATTAAATTTTGGCAAACCATGCGCATTGGGGAATCGAACTCCGGTCAGTACCGTGGGAGGGTACTATGATACCACTACACTAGCTGCGCTTGAATACCTTAATTACTAATACAATTTTAATCGAAAAAACAAATTCATTATCAATTACAAATGATTGAATTAAAATGAACAGAATCGTGAACTAAATTTAATAACGCTGAGAGGAATTAATTAGTAGATGAATTATATTAAAATTTCTATTTAACTTCATCAAATTCTATCCATATTTTTTAAATTTTAAATATAAAAAAATACTTTTGTTGATTTCAAAAATAGATTAACTGAAACTTTTGATCAATCATTCATGAAAATTTAGCAAAATATTTGCAATTGAGGATTTGCACATTCTAGCATTTGCAGTTTTTTGTTTGTTTGTAATATGGTACTTTGTATTATAGGAATAACAAAGTAACCACAGCCCAAGACCTCGTTAAAAAATCTAATCCTAGTCAGAGGAAAAAGAATACACCTTGGGGGTGGAACAGAAACAAAAATCAGACCATGCGAACAGCCACAATGGACAGCATAGCATGGGACAAACCCCAGCCTTACATCTTTAAAACCTGAACAGCCATTTAGGACAGACTAACCTTGTCTAGGAACAAAGCCGAGTAATGAAACATAATGGGTAAACAAATAGCAGAAAAGATAACTTTAGAACCAGTGCCCATGAAAGCCAGCATTTGAAGATAATTACACTTTACAAAATCCAGCTTTCTAATGTTCAGCTGCTATTCTTTAGCCTTCAAAACAAAACCCTCTTCTTGCCAAGGTAAAAAAGAGGTAAAGATAAAAGATCGATTCCGATCCATGGTCAGTTCATCGAGTCGGCCCCAGAGAGCTTCGAACAATTCGCTACTTAACGTTAGCTGCATTGGTGTTAGAACTGCCCGGGTTATCATTAATAAGGCCGGTGAGGCCATAAGAACTCAGCCGCTGGCTGCAACATTACAGTTGTAGGTGTTGTCGTTGTCGATGACAATCCGGGGGGCTCGCAGCTGCCTACGTTGGCAGACTGAAAGTGGTGGTAGAGATTCTGTTGATAAAATGCTGTTGCTGCTGCAGCATCGTAAGGGATTCCGCAAGGAATGTCGGAAACTGGCTGCATGGGAGCGAAACTTATACCTTGGCTGTTGGAGCTGCACCGGGGTAGCTGTTGTTGTTGCTCATGGTTTACTATCCGGTTTTGGTCCAATTCAAGTGAATGCTTTTGACGCTTAGCTGCCCCACCAATGGGAAGGGAACTCTTGCCAATGGCTTCGACATCGTACCGGCTCATCTCAAAGTTGGTCACTGCATTCGCACCTCGGAGTTTGATGGCCGCAATATCATATGCCTCTGCTGCCTCCTCTTCAGTAGCTGTGAACCATATAGATCAAACATTGTCAATAATATAACAGCAGTTAAAGTGTGAAGGTTCATTCATAGGTCCATTATTGTAGCCTTACAAAAGTCCCAAGGTACAAGTCCTTGTTTCCGGCAACCCGGCCTATCCTTGCTTGCCATCGGCCTTGTTGATGATGCCTGCAAATATAAGACGACAAATTAATTATTCAGTCGTTCACCGGAGAATCCGACAATTAGTTCAAAGTCTAAACAAAAATGTACGAACCTCGTGACACCTCGGTAAATCGATGCACCCCTTGAAAATCCACTACTCTTCCTATTAAACATCGGCAAACCGAAGATTAACCCTTTTCAATCATCCCCAACCGGAAAAAGAAAATCAAACCAGTCAAGTACATAAAGCTTACCTCCTTATGGATGCAATAAACTCTTGCCTGGTAACATTCTTCATCTCTTCCAACTCTTTCGAATAATTCTCAATCTAAACCAAGCAAAATAACCATCATTAGGTAGTTCGCATAATCTTCATCTTCCCTAAATTACCTATATTTGTATGTAAAACACATTCATACATACATAGATATATGATAAAGAAAGAACTGTGCATATATGATACCGGGAAGTTGGTAGTAGCGGTCAGACCCCAGTATTTCACGGCGGCCAAATCGTAAGCCCGAGCAGCCTTTTCTTCATTATCATAACCACCTAATAAATTACAACATAAAATTCAGTCTAAAAATTAACAACAGCAGTATGAAATTGCAGGATTAAACTCATAGTAACTACAAAGCTTAGGAGTTTCTTACCCAAGTATACTGTATAAACAAGAGTTTGAACACATCCAGGATCCCAGATTTGCATGCAAAAAGTAAAGCAGAGTTTGTTAATATTCGAAATTTTCTGCATAAATCCAATCCATAATAGATGGTCAAAATGAAAAACTTTATGTTGTTAACAAGTTCAAATTCTTCTTATAGTCCTTGTAGATACAAAAAATTGTGAATTTAGCCACCATGAGTCACAAGGCCAAAAAGCAAAAGCCAAATCAATCAAAGTCACTGTTTCAGAATTCAGACTTCGATTCATCTGTAGAAAAAGCCATTAGGCTTCAGGTTGAGCGAGATATTAAGGAAAAATGAATAAATAAAGGTGACTGTGAGCAAAAATGGCGGCATATCTGCTCAAATCAAAAGAAAAACCGTACATTTTGCAGAAAACTGAAAGTACCATTTGGGACACATACATAACATCACAGTGTCTCCATCATCATTAAATGACTGATGACAAATGTCCCACTGCATGCATGCTTCTTTTCACTAGTCTTCTCACTGTATTCAATATTCATATCACATATTATAGTTTCATATTCATATTTAGAATATTTTTTATAATATACTAATATTTATGTACACGTATGGGGTAATTATTTGATACTTGTGTATCATAGTCTGAAATTTAAATTATAGAAATAGTAGGTGCCTTTAAGATCATAATAACAGTTTCGAACGATTTAATATAGTATTATTATCATTATATAATAATAAGTGCTATCAAGATCGTGTAATAACGGTTTTAGTATCATTATATAACGGTTTTAGTATCGTTATATAACGGTCAATATTCGATATTTCTATGTAAGACAAGAAAGAAAATGTGACCTTGACGGCCTTTTCTGGCTTGACCCTCTCTCCTGCAGCTGTTATCCCATAGATGAGCTTCATATCTACCCGTCCACCTGTGTCTGGATCACCATAACATGTAATATTCTGATTTTAAAATCAAATTAAATATTGATGATTTAATTAAAACCATATTAGCTAATTTTTTAGCACAAAAAAATACTTTGAAAAATTGAAGGATAAGACTGATTGATGGTATATTTTTACCTGGTGACGCCTCTGTAAATCGAAGTTCGTTGACCAAATGTATCGGAAATCTTTTTTGAGCTGCCTGAGTCAACCGTAACAATGGCCTTGCTAGTGTTGTTTTTACTATTGTTCCCGCGTGGCTCAATCGAGTGACCTGGTAACTCAACGTGAGCCAACTGAGTTCCGCGCATTGACGACGAGTCATCGACTTCCGACCCCGAGTTCGTCGAGAACGCTTGAAATCCAGTAATTTCCTTGAGATCTTGAGGCTCGTATATTTGGGTTAAAGACGAACCTTGGGTTTCTGTTTGGCTATCGGAAAATCTAACGATCGACCAAGAATCGCCAAGGAAGTCTTCAAGCTTCGGTGCTTGGTAATGGAAGCTCGTGAAAATGGAGGATTCATCCGCCATTGATGCTCCCGTTTGAGCTTCATCGCTTTTGTTCTCCTCTCCTTCAAAAAACACTTGATTTTTCGGATTTGTCCAGCCTTAAAAAAAAGAAAAAAAAAACAAGAGATTTTCAGTATTCTCAGCAGTGGGCTGTATAAGTCGGTTTAGTTAAGTAAAATCAGTAGGAAAAAGAACTTGAAACTTAAACCCCTCAAACCTTTGATTTTCTCGTATTTTCTAGACAACCAAACAGAAGAAAAGAAAAGAAGAGAAAGCTTTGCCATACCATTATCATAGAAGTTATCGATCAGATAATTGGGAGAAACAGCAGAGGATTCTTCATATGACACAAACTGAGGCTCAGATGATGACCTCAACAGCTCCATTGGAGACAGTGAAACGAAAGCCAGTTACTTGCTGATGCCATTTCATGTATTTAAATATACAAACTTCAAAACCTTTTTCTTTTCTTCTTTTCTGAACTTACACTAAAAACCAAAACTATATTTCGAGGAAACAAACAAAAATTAGCTCAGAAACCTTCAAAAGAAAAGTGATAATGCATTTTTTTTAATCTTAACCGTTACATAGAATTGTTTCCATTCAGATAAACAACTACGACAATACCGAAGCTTAGTAAATGAAAAAGATGTTAACTGCATGCAATCTCATCTTGGATTTCTTTGAGGAATCCAATGTCTTCTTAAGAAGGAAAATAAAAGTTCCAAGGAAAAAAAAAAATCTGTTTGGTGAGAGGGAAAGTGAGGTAAAATAAAGTTGGCGTTAGGGTTTTTAAAGGAAGGCAGAGAGAAAAGTTATCCAGCGGTTTAATCTAAAACGATAGAACTACTGGAAAATAGAGCAAATATAGGTAATTTTACTTAAATAATACCAAATAAAAATTATTAATTAACTGAAGATTTATTATTTATGATAGAGTAAATATAAATATATTAAGACTACAGTACGTCATCATTTTCATTTTTTATATTTTATATTAAATTAATAGTAATAAGTAAAAAGGTTACTAATTGAACAGTGAACTTTATTGATGTTTTTCTCTCGGTTTTACACATTTGTCCTACATGCGTGTAACTTCCCCACCTGTACAATTGAATCCCATTCATTAATCTCTGAAGGATAAATATGTTCACCATTTTTTTAACAATGATATATTAAATTTTAATATTTTTAATTCTTTTAAAAATAAACACAGTAAATGATAAATTCAAATGAAAAAAGAAACTAGAAATATAATACATAAATATTGTTTTGTTGTTGATTTTTATTTTAAAATTAATTCGGACTATAAGTAATAAAATCTAATTTTTTTTAATTACTTATTTTTTATATTCATCGTGAAATTTTGTTTATATTTATCTAATATAAAAAATTTATATTATTAATATATGTATATATTAAACCTGAAAAATATTTTTGGATTCATGATCTATCACAAGTGGAGCCGGTGCGTAGATAGATGTAGTGAGAACATGGCATTGGTATGCAACTGGTTTTGAGTTATTGGGATCAAAGTCTTTATCTTTGGGGCGTCTTTTGCTGACTTTGGTTCATTCTCTCTTGAACGGCATATTACATCCAATGATGTGTGTATATATATATATCTTACAAGTTATTTATTGAAAGTTCAAATATCCTATAATTTTTCGTTTGATAAGATTATTTTTATCTATGTAGTAGATTTTATTTATTATTTTTCGTCTTTATAATATTTTTAGTCCTTAAAATTGTTTAATTATATGATCTTATATCTTAAAATCCTGACTTAAAATCCTAAACATTAACCTTAAATTTAACTTATAAACCCTAAACAATAGTAAATACTTTAAACATTGATGCGATTTAGTAACTTCGATGGTTAAATTGATGCGAAAATATCGTGGAGATGAAAATGATAATTTGGGTCTATTATAAGGACAAAAGTTACCCTTAAGCCTTTTAATTATTATAATCCTAATTGTCACACACATCAAGCTATTTTAGTGGTTAAATAAATAATTGTTATTCTTAGAGTGGCAGGTTCGAGTTCCAGAGACTAGGGTATTTAAACTTTCGTTAACAAATGGTTAAAAGTCTTTATAACATATACTATCACTTTTATTAATAAAAAAATAATATTAGAATGTCTGATGTAATATATAACATTTTTTATAATATATAAACAGTTATATTTTTAATTTAGAATAAAATTTTAAAATATATATTTTGCTTATTTTAGATATTGGTTTTTTTATTGAGGTATGTGTTAATTGTTTATTTTGTTATTATTTGAGGTGTTTGACAATTTTAAATATTATTATCCAATTAACGTTAGATATGTAACATTTAAAAAAAATTAAAAAAATTAATTTATAAATCCTCAAAATCTTTAAATTACTCAAATTAATTAACGTTAGATATGTAACAAATGCGTGTTATTTGTTTAACCTTGTGTTAATATTTTTATAAATTCCAAAAACTGGCCCAATCGTTATTTTTGACCATTGACTGAGAAGCACGTGCGCAGCATCTTTTTCTAACACAGGTCGATGATTTCGGAGACGCACGTGCATCCCCGACAACATATATGAAAATGATAATAATAACCAATAACTTCACTTCCATGTTTTTTAACCTTTAAAAAGTTAAAAATGGTGAGAAACGCAACATATCTGTAACTAAGCTGTAAAAACCGATCTACTTCATTCAAATACTTAAGTCTCTTCTTTTCCATTTGGATTCACATTCTTTTTATGGCTTTCAACTTGGAACCATTTCACGCCATGCATACTTTGATCTCAAGTTTTTAAATATATATTTTTTATCACTGTCTTTTTTTTTCAATGAATTCTCCGTCACACATTGATTTTTCTATTCAACGACAAATAAATTTAAACTCCTGATCGGGTATTATAGAGTTAAAGACAACATGCACAACCTAATTTATTCCATTCGTAACGTTCAAACTCTTAATATTATATAAGAGATATAATTATTATTCCATTAAATCAACTTGTTATTGGGGGTATGGTAGGGTTTATTGTTGTTTGCAAATGGGCGATGTAAAACTTAATTTTAGGGATAACATTGAAGTGAAATGAGAGAATGTTATCAAATCTATTACACAATTGGCATATTCTATTTTATCACATATCTATTTTATCGATGTTACATATATTTATTTTTGTCCGGTCTTTATTTAATTTTATTTAATGATATATATCTTTTAACTGTTTTAAATGTAAATAATATTGAAGTATAATTCTTCAAATATATATATATATATAACAATTATCTAAACATAACATTTAAAACATAAAATTACTTAGGTCGTTTATATAACACATTTTTATAATTTTATCCTTTAATAATTATATGTATAAAAGTAAAATGGTAATCTCATACAATGAAATGATACAAAACGAGACACAATTGTCATAATTGTTTTATATTTACTTTTAGAAAGGTTATCTTGTGAACTCATTAAACCACCTCTTCTCGTTAAAAGAAAAATATTATTCTCCTTAAAAGTTCGAGTTTACATAACTGCGTTTAAAGGGTGTATTTTATCGATAGTTAAGAAAAATCTGAAAAAAACACTACTTTTAATCATCTCAAACTAATAAAAAAATCACTTCATTCGGAAAAAAAAAATGATTCAAAATCTATTGGGAGGTTCAGATTTTGTCATCGCTACTTAATCTAATGAAAATTATGTTTTTTTTTAATGAGAGAGGAGGCCGAAGCCAGTACATCAACGTTTTATATGACTATAGGGAGGTCCAGAAATGTCTCTCGCTAAAAGTCCTTGTAGAGATGCCGGGGGAGAATCAAAGATTGTAATCGAAGGCCTGTGAGAATCAGTGAGTTTAGCCATGAAATCCGCTGCCATATTTACTTCCCGACGAACTAACACAGACGATAAACCAAGATTTAACATAAAGAGCAACGATAGATCGTACTAGAGAAAAAGGGCTCGTAGACGATGGTGGCAAAAGCAGATCGTGGCAGTCTAAAGCTATTATTTTAACGTTGGAAAACAGTAAAGATTTATCAAAGATTAGTTTGACAGAATTAATGAATGTTCTACAAGAATAGAATAAAAAGGCTCATGAGATTTATGACAATAAAAATACAAGGACAAAATTTGATTTCTCTCCTTTTAAAGAATTTGAAAAAGCAATGCTGTAATGCTTAACGTTGCTAGTTTCTTACACTATGCCCTGTGCATGCTAGTGTTCTTTTTTTTACCATAATCTTCTTCCCGATTGCGCAGTTAGCAAACCATTTATCTACCACTACTGCTATGTCCTGATTTATGATGCTGCTTCTTTTGCAGCGCAGGTTGAACCACTGAGAAAATGGACGTCTTTTGTTTCTTTTGTTTCGCACCGAAGATAAACGACCTCAACGGTATGTTGGAACGGACTTCCAACGGGCCGCCTTGCTGGCTCTTTGGACCCGATAGTCCCCAGTCGTCACTCAACTTGGTCAATGCTCTATCCGCGTCTCGCTGCAACGATATCGCCAGGTCTAATCCAGCTTGCAGTTCGTCGCCCACCCTCTTGTTCTCTTGCTTCATGTTCAGTATTTCGCCTTGGAACTTGGCGGCCTGGTAGCTTGTGAACCGGATCTCGTCGTCTTCGGCACTGGCTTTCAATGCCTTGGTGATCTCCTCTTGGATTTCACATAGAGACGCCGACCTGTTCTTCAGCTCGTCTTTCAGTGACTCGGCTTTATCGATCCACAGATTCAGTTCGGTCTGCATTTCTCTCAAGTGCTTATACAATGGTCGAACGCCTGATTTTACCGAGTATTTCGAGGTGCTACTTCCCTCGCTCCTCTGCCTTTCCTCTAGTTTTAGTACCTCGGCCTCTAAATCTTTAACCCCGGATTGGTACTTTTGTAGTTCGTATAATGTCGAGCTGAATCTGTACCAGAAGTCCAAGTTCTCTTCTAGTAGTTCGTCGATGTCGGTTCTGAACTTTTCTTCAATGGCGGATATAGGTTTGGACTCGTAG